CCCTTTGCCATTCCAACTGTTGCTCTGTGCAACATGCATCAGGCATGGCTACTCCTAAATCATCCTTGACCAACGCTCATCCAACCTCTTCTTGAAAGCCTCCAGTGAAGGAGCTTCCACAACTTCCCTAGGTAGTCTATTCCTTTTCCTCGCTGCTCTAACAGGAAAAGTTTTTCCTGATATCCAACCTTACCCCATTTTTGCTGCAGTTTAAATCCATTATTATGCATTCTGCCCTGTATAACGAGGGAGAAAGCTGTTTACCCTCTTTATGGCAGCCTTTCAGATATTTGAAAACTGTTATCATGTCCCCCTGCCCTAACCGACTTTTCTACAAGCTAAATAAACATGCTTAATTCTCTCCATTTCTCCTTGTATGACTTGTCTTCCAACCCTTTTATCATTTCTGTTGCCCACCTTTGGACCTTCTCTAACTTCTCAACAACATCCTATTTAAAATGCAGAGCACAATACTCTAGATGAAGCTGAACTAGTGTTAAGTAGATGGGCATTATTGCCTCCTGTGTCTTACCTCTAATACAGCTCCTGCTGCCACAGTTTCAGGCTGAGCCCCCCTCCACATCCCAGCTGGGGTAGGACTGGAGCTTCCCTTGTCCTCAGGACAGTGGGACACAGTGGCAGCAGCAGGTGGAGGAAGGGGGAAGGGGAGAGGAGAAGGCTTTAAGAAAAGTCCTCAGCTGTTGCTCCTGTAGCATGTTCTGCCCACTTTGGTGGGGGAGGGGAGATGGAAGCAGGGAGTGCAGCCACCCCTACAGCGCTGTTCCCTGCTGCCACCCCCCTTTATAAAATCCTGGATCCACTTCTGAAAGAAGAGGATAATACAAGGCTTCAAGAGTCTGAACACTCAGGCTCAATATGCTGACAAAATCAATCCATATTTTTCTATCTATCTATAAAATGGGGATGATGATGCCCACTGTTTTTCTTTTTTTTAATGATTTGAGATATAGAGGCTAAGAACTACTACTAATAGTAGTGTCCATTTTCTCTCAGTTATATTTTAAATCCCTGTCCTCATCACTTCTTCCATTACTTCTTCTTCTTCGAGACCCTTTTATCCTACCCTAGCTTTAGATGTCATTTAGCATATACATGTTTACATTTTATGACCAATATATCTGTATAAATACTTCTCAATATTTAAATGAAAATATAGATACACATAGATCAAAACAGGACACTTATAGGTAAAATTATTCATTTATTTCTTTAATATTTTGAGGTAAAGTCATTTTACAATTGACATTTTTTCATTTTTAGGGTGGATGTGAAGAATCAGTGATGAATTGCTTTTTTTCAGAGATGGAGGTGGTTAGGCATGAAAGTAAAATCAAGCAATGTACAAACAATGAGAGCGTGAATACTCTGCTGCGCAATGCAAAGCCATACAAGGTAAGTAAGTGTTAAGTACAGTAAAAAAAAAAAAAATCATGATCAAAAACTGTTACTATCATAACAGGAATAAATGGTACCCCCTTTGCATGCAGAGTGCAGTATGGTACAAACAGACTGGAAGCCTCAGACACACATGCACATATTTATTAGGACATTGTTTAGTTTATTGGTGCTCAATCTTTTAGCTCCATGGACCAGATTAATGACGAGGGAATGTCTGCTGGCTATATTGATCCCAGGGGCCCTGCAATACTCCTCCTCCTTCCCACACACCATAATTGGCTTCTAGGGTCCCAGCACTGCCCCCTCTTGGGTCGCCACTCCAGGATTGGGCCCTGCAAGGCTGGCAGTGCCCCCACCTGGCCCTGCATGCTGGGATTGAGCACCAGATCCACCACTCCCCTGCTCCCCTGCCACCAAATTTCTAGACCCATGGAGAGTCCTACAGGCCAGATGACATGGTGCAATGGGCCAGATCTGGTGCATGGGCCAGAGGTTGAGCACCCCCAGTTTAGCCTGTCTACAAATAATATTTTGAAGACTGTCACCAAAACAAATACTAAACTAGCTGGAGTTTTGTGTATGTGTGCGTGTATGTGTGTAAAATGGCACCCTTGGGAGAGTATTTTCAAATCTCAGTACCTCAAGTGGGCCATACTTAGACATCTAAGCAAATGTGACCTAATATTCAACGCGTAAACTACCCCTAAAGTCCCTGGTGCTTTGAGTGCTCACCACATTTACAAAACAGGGCATTTACACAGTACAGTATTTTGATGCCTGGGTGGTCTATATAGAGAGAATAAGGAGAGCAAAGTGAGTAAGATTGGATTCTCAATCAGAAAAACCAGATCTGTACTATTAATACCAAGTCATTCTTTATCCAAATAACTCTAACTTTTACAGCTTCCTCTTTTTCAGAATGCAAGCCATGTAATGAAAGCAAACTGCAAACAATGTGAACAATATGAAGAAAGAAATTTTACGGAATTTGTAGAGAATTTTAAAATCCTAGTACAACATTTGTTCAGAAACATGTCATGAGGATTGTGCTTAGGAGCAACTCAAAACCTCACCTGCTCCTTCAAGCAATATAATCAAGAAAGAATGTAGCTAGATTGGCTGGCTATTCTAAGAGCCTTGTTATGAGAGAGCGGCAGAAAAACAAATGGAGACAAGAATGTGAACTATGGACTGTTATTTGTGTAATGCAGAAGATCAGGCTAATCAATCACAATGGTTCTTATGGTTTTACAATCTAAGAAATTTGTATGAGGGGTAGAGCCTCACTACCAGCTCCAGCAGCTACAGAGCAAAATCAGATTGTTCATAATCAAATGATAACAGCTAACAGTACTGAAACTGTGAAAAAAATTATTGACCATTAGCCCAATCAGCTGAAAATTGTTTTTTTCAGGGTAGATTTGTTTAGCAACAGAAATTAATGACTGGAGTGAAGTATGTTTTCATTTAGACATGAAGTTCTGTTTCGCAGAAGGAAAACAAACAACAAAGATAGTTACCTCACACCAAAATCCCTGTATTTACAACTCCATTGAACCATGGACCCCAAAGACCCTGTACCTTTGTTTCTTCTCAGGGTCATACTCACCACTTCTCCTCCTTGCCTTTTGCTCTAACCTTCAATAGGCTGAATCCTAGTCTTCACATTTTGTATTGGCAATCAAGAAAACACTTGAGCCTACTTAGCACAAATATGACATGCCATATACATACCTCAAGTGTCAGTTCAGCCTTTTATTCCATCCCAGTTGTTGGGATTTGAGTTCTTCTTTGGGTGAGCTTGAAATTGCATATTTGGTACAGTCATTGACTTTAAGAAAGTCTGACTATTTTTGTGAGGCCATGCTGCAGTTCCTTTTTATTATGCTACCTTTATGCAAATCATAGTCCGTTTAAAACTGGAGGAATGGAATGGAGAATCAGGCCCAGTTTGTCTAGTGTCAAAATTAGTTGCTATGTCTTTTTAGCAATGGACTGTGCATCTAACAAACATGTGCATGGTATTCTATCTTCATAAGATTGGGTTTTGGCTTTTAGTTGCTTTGCCCAGGTGGTAAATGTGTCATTAATTTTATCTGACCTGAATTTATTATACTTTTGCAATAAAGAAAATCCCTTTCTTTAGATAACGGACTATGTCTTCAATTAACATATGACTAGACAACTGTTAAATATCATGGATACATTAGTATTAATAGTGCTGTCTCTGAATAACTCACATGGACAAAATCCACCCTGGGATTGATCTTTATTAGATCAAAAGAAGGAAAGAAAATGCACATAATAGTCCATGTATAAGGATCCCAACAAATAAATTTATTCTGTGATTGTTGACCATTTCGACAAATGTGTATATCCAGCAGATGGAAAAATAAAAGGATCTTATGATGATTTCTGTATTATTTGTATTACAGTGTCTGAACTACTATTTGTCTAGATGCCTCAATCAATGAACAAAAGGTGAAAAATGGACTATGGCATTTGGAGCTAACGCACAAGTTACATTTTGCATTTTGGGTTCCATTACAATCATAACAGTCATACAGCAGGATTGTAAATGTCCCAGAAAAAGGCTTAATAGTACTCAAACAAGCATTTTTAACATAGAATCATAGAATCATGAGTCAGAAGGGACCTAGACAGATTACCAAGTCCGACCCCCTCCTTTAAATATTTACAAGGAATTTCAGCTATATGTTACTAATCACCACTGTGTTAAATAACTTCTTTCCAAGTCCACTATCTCAGCCAGGCCACTGTTATTCAACTTCTTTCCTTCTTTTTTGCTTTTCTTTATTACCTCTTTCTCCAAATTTAACAAAACTGTTAGGTTCATGAGAGCAGAATGTGGGCAAGGTAAAATGTTTTTTATCATCGTATATGGAAGTTTGTACATAGTGTTCTACAGGAACAAATAGACCGAAACAAATAGACTGAAGTTTTAAACTTACCCAAACTGTTTGTTTATATCAATTCATAGAGTTCTATTTATATACCAGTCCCCTTATGTACTGCATAATTTAAGAAGGTAGGGCCAGTGTGCACAAACCTGACTTCCCTGGCCTCTTGTATTCAAAATAAAAGCAGTTAAAGTACCTCATCACAGTCAAAAGAAACGCAAGAGTTTTTCACTCCCATTCCCATGCATACAGGGGGGATATGCTGATAAGAAAGACAGTCCCCTTATCTGACCTTGCATGCCAATGCTGGGATGCGAATAAGCACTGCCGAGAGGTTGTCACAATTTCAATTTGTCATGTTTTCCTTGAAGTTTTGGGACCAAACTGGACAGGGTACTCAAGTGAGGCCTCAATAGCTCTGAACAGGGTGGAAGAATTACTTCCTGTGACCTGCATAAATACAGAATAGATTTGAAGTATACTGTTAACATTTTCTGCAAGAAGTACATGTGCTTACTTACATTGCTTGATGCATACCACAGACCTTCAAACACTGGAGAGTGGGGACAAAACACCCACTGAGACAGATGGAACTGCCCACGTCACGCAGGGCTATTTCAGCTACTTCAGCCTCATTCATCTCCAAATAGTACCTGCATTCATCTGAGAACTTCCCATTCATGGTTCATGACTGAGCCATTCATTAATGAGCCATACATGTACACAGCCACAAAGGGTGTCAAGCAGCAAGGAAGGACTTTTCAGTTGCCAATAGCTAACTACTGGTGGCTGAATGCAAAGAGAAGGAAAGTGGTGCCGAGGCTCTTTTAAGGAATGGTGAAGGGTTCAAGAGCAGAGACATACAAGTCTTCCCTAATGTGCTTAAATGTATGTACTGTTACTATCAAGATTTGGGGATACAGAACATATCTGCATTGTCTCTGACCAGACCTGCTAGCAACTACAGATTGCCAACATTTCAAAACACAGCTATGATCTCCTTCATATATCTATATCTATAGCACAGAGATGTTGTGCCACTCCATATATATCATATTTATGATCTCCTTCATATATAACAAGTGCACAGCAGTTATGTACTGAAAACACCACAGCACCCTTTAACCTTTTGGCCATAAGCATCTCCACTGCAAACCTGCATGATAACTGCGACTGAATTAAAGATCACTAACATAGAACAAATACCATTTCTCCTTATATACATATACCACACAGAGATATACACCGATGCAGGCTTCAGATTGCCTGGTTTGTCCAGAAAGCTGATTTGAATAAAGTTCTAGTTTCTAAAAAGGAGGCAATAAAGAATGAAAGCACCCACTATCATGATAGAAGATACAGTTTAGAGATACTCTCCAACAGGAGACTGAGGGATGTGGCAATTTGAAGACAGCATTTCAGTTAGGGAGCACCTACTTAGAGAGAAAGACTGCCAGACCCAGGGGCCTCAGACCTAGGGGTCACAAGCCACATGACCTGCATGCCCCAGGCAGATGGGTCAGTAGCCCTTCCCCCACCCCTGCCCGGGATTTGCACCATGAGGGCAGCCTCACTCCATGCTGCGTGGGCAGTCCCTTCTCCAAGCTGCACATGCCATCTACCTGCAGTGCAGGCTGCCTGGTCTCCTTTTTTGCAGCCCAGCTCCTTCCCCTGGCATGTGCACTGCATGGGCACTCCAGCCCCCTCCTTGTGCTGCCCTGCTCACCCCCAGGAGCGGGGCCAGGATGTAAAAATCAGAGCAGGGAGGAGGAGCCCGAAGAACCCAGCCACTGTGGCAGGAACACCTGGGGGGAGTGGTAGTTGGGTGGGACTAACCCTTCGGGGGCTACTACCCAGGGCCATCAGTTGGACAGCCCTGGCTTACATAATGCAACATTGAAATGAGGCATAATGGAAATATTGATGTATTAATCGAGGACCTGTCTCTTGGATCATATTTTTGGGTGGTAGGGGAAGGGGGAAGCAAAGGAGGGTCAAGCAGAGGGCTTACCCACACCATAGGGCCATGACACTTCCCAATTGTCTCATGTCAAAATCCACCATACATCTATACCAGCCCCTCGATGCTCCAGTGTCTAAAAATACAGTGTCTTCCCCCTCATCTGGTCTCCCAAAACCCTGGCTGCTGCTGGCCTCCCTCCCCACTATACATGTTGGGAGCAGCGGTGCCAACAGCTCCCAGATTGCTGAGACTCCAGGCATTCAGGGCACTGTCAGTACTTGGCTCTTGGCACTCTGGGCACTGCTGTATTTGGTATTTGGGGTACTCTAGGCACCACTGCTCCCACACCTGGGGTGCTTCCATTGCTGCAGAGCGGCAGTAGTAGTACCATCAACTCCTGCCACTCCATGGAAAGCATGTCACTGCAGAGATTTTGCAGCACTCCAGTTGGTGGGCCTGGCAGGGGGCCATGTGTATATCCAGCAGCTGAAATGCTATGTTTTTTAAATGTTTCCAAATCTGTTATACTTGGAAATATTTCAGGTATTACAGCTGTTTCCACCTCTGCATTGCTTCAAATAATTGTTCTGTCACAACTGCTGCTGTGACACAGGCATACTCTGGGAGGCACTGAACGCATAGTCTTGTAATATAGTATATCCCTGAAGTGCAAAATTCTATTCAGTCAAAAGATTTTTGTTTATTTGTTGCTTTCTGGCATGTTATTGGTTCAATATGGCATTTGGAGTTCAGGCCAGGTAATTTATACTTAAAAATAGAATCTATAATGGAAATACTCAATACACATTTAGATGAAATTTAATAAAAATTATATTTTAACTCATAGCATTGTTACAAGATTATCGATTTCCCAGTCCAAAGAGAGCATCTATTGAAGCACACAAAAAGCATTTGTATGGAAATAGTTTGTCTTTCTTATACTTTAGGATGATACTATTTGAAGGTACTGTCCACAGATCATTGTATAGATTATACTCTCAAACATCCCTGCTACTTAAATTGAATTTACTGGGAGGCTATTGTCTTGTATTCCAAGAAGAATGAATGTAATCTTCAACTTTCAGTCTAAAACTCTGTCAAGATAAAACCAGTTTGAAACGCCACATTGGTACTCAACTGAGGAAAGTTACCACCATGGCAAAAATGTTTAGTTATATCCAAAGCAATTCAGCATTCTGCTCAAAGACATTTATTGTGCACAACTAAAGACCCAAAGTTTTTTAAGTACAACCCCCCATTTTTCATTGCTTTTTGAGAATCTTGCAAACAGTAGCTGTCACAGAAATAAATATAACTGATGGCTATATTTATTTGTATGGTGATGCAGCAAATTAGTTCATATTTTAAGAGAAAAAAGATAAAATATGACTTACATTGTATTCCCCTCAAATGAAGAGAAAGCATCTCTTGTTTAAAACTGGCATGTTGTGTTGGCCACTAAACTATTCCTAATTATTCAAGAAGTCAAGGAAGTCTTTTTCTTATCTTACACTAGTGAAAACATTCTCAGCTAATATTCTAAATTGCTGACAATTATAGCTAAATCCAATAATGGAGTGGCTGTACATCACTTTTCACCCTCCACCCATTCACATTTCACTGTCTGGCCTTCTCACTAGCAGTGTACTTATCACTTTAAAAATACTGCAGAACACATGGTGGTACAGTGCAATGGAGATGTTTTATTGGAAGTTGCCTGAGATAATTAGTGCAACTTTTATCTTCATCATTCATGACTAAAGCAGACATCCCAAGCTCATTGCCATAAACTTTTATACTATACCTTGTCTCCTGCATAAATAAAACTATTTTATGAATGTTTTAGAGAGTGTTTCACATTTTCATTGGGACACTTGTCCAGCTTTAGAGCTCAGATATAGAGAAGCAATGATCAGGTAAAACCTGACTGACCTCTCCATCAATGATCCCAAGGTCTTTCTCTGTACCTAAAAATGGTATAGAGTCCTAACAGCCACATGAATGCTTGAAGCCCTTCCGGAGCCTTACATGACTTTGCTGTGGATCTTGGGATATTAGGATGGAACATAATCATCACCCATCCTCTTCCCCAAAGGGTTGAATGAATGAATATCTGAAAACTGAACGTTGCAAAATAAGTGCCTAGACTGATCTGCCCAGAGCATAATTTGGCACATGAAGTGTGCTGTACGTGTAGAATTGCTGGCAAGACATAACAGGACTCAAAGGCAGGCAGGCTGCAGAGATTGCTAATCATATTTCACTGCACACAAATGACCTTTAATTTATTATTCCAGCACTGACATGCACTACTCAATATACTCAGTGCACCAAATACCTTTGGGAATTGTTCAGGATTAAAGATTGGCTGTGACAAAACTGAACTTTTCAACCCAAGTAACCAAGGGCAAAATACCAATTAAGCAATATTCCAGTTCCATCAGAGATATGAGAGTTCACATAAAGAACAGCCCCAAACAAATATTTAATGTAACTGCAGACATCCAATTTTTGACAAAAATGGCTTT